TTTTTTTAAATATATCTTTATTGATTTCAGAGAGAGGAAGGGAGAGGGAGAGAGACAGAAACATCAGTGATGAGAGAGCCATTGATCGGCTGCCTCCTTCACGCCCCCGACTGTGCATCGAGCCCACAACCCGGGCATGTGCCCTGACCGGGAATCGAGCCTCGACCTCCTGGTTCATAGGTCAACACTCAACCACTGAGGCTCGCTGGCCAGGCAGAGCAATGACATTCTTGGAAGGGATTTTACTTCACTATTATTATTATTTCAGATGGACATGTGGATTGATTTTATTAACAGTTATTCAGTATNATGGGCCAACCCCATACTTTTGAATCACAAGTCAACCAATCTGTGTAGATTTTCTTCTGGCACCGTGTTTGGGCAATTTCTCTTGTTCTCCTCAACTGTACCCCCGTTCAGCCCCGACACCTCCAGAATCCTTAGCCAGCTGGGATTCAGCAAAAGAAGCTTGGCTTTCATCTAGCTCCCCCTCCAATGAGGTTTATGATAAAGAAGACACAATTCCATCTTCCTGGAATCTACACATGGAAAAGGACTCCTCTTTTGAACAAGTAAAGGAAAAAGTATCTAAATTTTAAAAGTTCTAAAAAAGAATAGTGTGTGTTTCATATTCAAAATCATAGTGTGTGTATTATTCTGCAAGGAGCTACATCGGACAAATTAACCATACGTAAATCTAAACTTAGAGGTGTATCCCCATCTTAATAAATGCCTAGGTCATATTAGCAATAGTCATATGACTCAAGCTTTTTAAAAATGTAGCTGAACTGTTAGCTAAAATGCCCCAATGTGCAGAAACACGCTTCCACATTTGAAACAGATGCTTTGAAGATGTTAGAATCACATTACCTTTCACCTTACCAGTTAACATCAGAGAAAGGAGAGAACTGGTCCAGCCAAATTAACCCCTTATTGTCATACTTAACCATTAAGTCTCACACTAAAGAGACATTAAAATTCACAATTCCACGTCAGGAACCCTTTAGACAATTTTTTGTTCTCAGAAGGCACCAGGTGTCGTGTCCTACGTATCAACTACGTTTGTTGAGTGCCTACTGGGTGACTGGGGCTGAGCTAAGAGCTGGAGACACCAAGGTGAGTGGATAAGACGTGCTGTCTTCTGTGAACGAAAAGGGTTCCCTTGGCAAGCCTGACAAGATCAATAGCTCAATAGCTAAAAGTAAAACCACAAGGGATGTTTTGATCATTAAAAAAAAAACACTCCTGAGTGAAGTCGCATCCTAAGGCCTATACGAGAGATTAATTTCTACCTTGACAAGCTCTGTTCATTTCTTTTGTGCATCCAGAATACTTAAAATGTCAAAGTGATCTCTTTTCCAGACCCTGGTACAGGGCGAGACAACCCCAACACTCCTCCTTATTATCTCTTACCCACATTTCTCTTTATAAACTATGTATGTGAAATGTTAACAGTCCTGCACCCACCAATGCATAGGAAGTGTGCATCTCTCTATTTTAGTTTTTACCCAGTCCTAAAGGCTTTCCCCTCCTTAATCTGCTGCCAAGGGATTTCATGTCACCTTTCTTACGTCTCCTCCTTTGATTCTAATGTATAACATCAGGTGCAACACTGCTGTTCTCCAGAGCATTAATTATCTCAATCCCTTGAGATTTTGCTTCTGGGACTAGCCCCAAACCTTTCCTTAGATTTGGAATTTCTTTCAACGCTTTCTTTTACCACCTTGGTGTCCGGTGTGGGAGTTAGTACAGTGAGGCAGGTCCTGGGGTGGCAGGGTCACAGGGTGCCATCCGTAAGTTGCCCCAGAGTACCAGAACTCTAAGCTACCCCAACTTTCTCAGCTCCTCGGCAACCTCTTGCTGAAGACAACATGGCCTACAAAGAAGCCTCCAACTAACAAAGGAAATGACTGACACAAACATTGATTTACAGAAGTGGGTGGGGGTGGAAGGAGAATTCAGCTGTGCCAGCTACAGGGAGGTAAAGGAAGAGAGTTGGCTCTTAGAGCAGGTACTTTGGGGAGAAGATGTATAGCATTTGATGCAAGAGGAAGACCTAGAAAATTATCTTTGAACCTATTAAAGGTTATTTCTTTTCCTTGCATTTCCAGAAAAGCAAGCCTCTTAACGTCATGTTTTCTAATCCAAATTAGAAAAAAGATGTAATATCTTTTTCTGAAACTGAATTAAAAATACTCATTTGGAAAAGAAAAATATGACCCCAGAGAACTTTGCTTGCCCATGGATGACACACTTTGTTGCCAGCAGAAACTTACTACACTTTTCCCAAAAAAGAATCAAGAAAAGCCAA